ACTTGCCTTGGACCCGATTGATACCAGCTTGCAAGCGTTCCTCGTCAACTTCTTTCAGCAGGACACGGACATTGTGCACAATTAAAGCCGTGGCGATGCCCGATCCCATCAGTCCACCGCCTATAACACCCACGGTTTTGACAGGCCGAGCTTCTAGTCGACCGTCACTCACATTTGGAACCTGCGAATTCAAGACATCAAAATCAAAAGATATAAGAAAGATATCATACCAAGCATGCCGAAAGGTTACCTTATACACAGTCCTCTCGGCAAGAAAGATATGCATTAAAGCTTTCGCGGGTAGGCTGTCCACGGTCTGAACTCCCATCTTTCGTTCCTGGAAAAAAGAAAAAGTAGCACACAATGACGGGCACGACAGAATGTCACACTTACAAAAATTGTTCCCTCAGTTCCACCCTTGTGGATCCCGTGCTCGATCACGGCCAGGCAGATAAACGGGTACTCAACATGCTTATGCGTCTTCTTGGCTCGCAGTCTAGCGTTGGCGATGATGTGCAGTGCTTCATGCAGGGGCTCCAGCTTATCACTTCTTTCCAAGGTTTTGAGAAAAGGATGCGTCTTGTTGGCAATGCCTTTAGCGTAGTTCCGTGCGAACTGGATTAGCTGCGGGTAATCGCAAATCGCATCCACGAGCCCGGCTTCGTGCGCTTCCTTTGCCTTTATCATTTTTGATGTCTAGAGATTTAAAAAAAAGTAAAAATCAGCAAGAACAACTCATTACAAGCGTGATTTTGCTTACCATCATCATCTCTACGGCCTTTCCAACTCCAACAAGGCGAGGAAGCCTTTGAGTGCCTTCAGTGTGAACGATTGAGCATAGAAGAGAAATGAAATGAAATTTACCTCCTAAGCCGGGAATAATTCCTAGCTGAAGTTCCGGGAGTCCCAGCCGAGCATCAGGAGAAGCTACTCGTGCGTGACAAGCCTTAAGACAAAAACACCCAAGAATTTCGAACAAAAGAAAAAAAAAAAAACGAAAAAAAGAACAAAGAGAGACTAACCATTGCCAATTCCAAGCCTCCACCGAGCGCAAAACCATGAATCGCTGCCACCGCTGGCTTTGATCCGCCTTGTTTGCAAAACAGAAACAAGCTTGCTTCACAGCAACATCTTCTCGCCTTTCTTACCTTCTATGATATCGTTCATAAGAACCAAGCCAGAGACCTCGGTTTTCCTGACAGCGCCTACAATTCCACCGGTTGGTTGCTGAATCGAGAGAAAGCATGAATATATCAAACCCGGTGCTTTGCTCATTGACTTTATGTCCGCTCCTCCAGAGAACTTGTTGTTGGCTCCTGAAAGGTTCCATCCGAAAAGAAGTGAGAAAAGAAAGATCGATTCATTCCACTAGAATTACCGGTGAGGACTATAGCTTGAACATCAGCCCTCTCGTGCGCTTCGATGAACTTTTCAGCCAGCTCGCCCATCACTGCGAAAGAACGAGAAAGGAGAATGAAGCTTTAGATAAGATCAAAGCAGCAGAGGCGCTGCCGCAAACCTTGCGCGCTGAGCGAGTTGACAGGCGGATTGTCGATGACGAGCAGCGCCACACCATCGCCTCCTACCTCTAAACGGACTTTGGACGCGTCCTCCATTGCGAGGAGACAATCTTAGGGCGCCTTCGCTATATAGCACAACGGTGATCCTAAAGTCGTGCGTCACTACCTAAAATCTTTTAACTCAAGAGCTCTGCTTGCTACTAAAGTCTGGAACTTGGTTCTTCAGATCTTGCGCCATTCAACAGTGATCATCAATCATAGAAAAAGAAAAAAGTCGAAGGTTGGTGGAAAAGATATAGAATCTGTCAGGAATGGGATTCGAACCCATGCCCTTCTACGGACTAGTACCTGAAACTAGCGCCTTAGACCAGCTCGGCCATCCTGACATTATGCTTATTTTATGCTCAAGGCACCTTATTCTGTTCTATCTTAGAAATTTTGTAAAGAGACCGTGGAGCCCTAATTTTCCTCGCTCACAACAATGTCGGCGGAGCTCCTTGGCAGGAAGCTTATCGATTGTGGCACCAAGATCGTCGCGGTGGGGAGGAATTACGCAGCGCACGCAAAGGAGCTGGGGAGCGCCATTCCAAAGGTTCGATTTTGATCTGGAGAGAGCTTTGATCGTCGCATTTACTTGATCATCGGCAGGAGCCAGTGCTCTTCCTCAAGCCAACGTCTTCGTACGTCCGCGAGCCCGATCCGATCGAAATTCCAAAGCCTATCACGGAGGTGGATTATGAGGCAGAGATTGGTGTCGTGATTGGAAGGCGAGCGAAGGATGTGTTTGAGGAGGAGGCCTGGAATTACGTGAGAGGTTAATAGAAAGCTCATGTCTCTGGATTTTTTTTCGTAACTTCAGATGGATCACAGGCTATGTTTTGGCATTGGATATGACTGCGAGAAGCCTTCAAAACGTTGCAAAGGTACATTTTGAATGAGTTTCAATCGCGAGTTTGCGAATTCGATCTCAGGAAAAAAGATTGCCATGGACAGTTTCAAAAGGCTACGACACTTTCACGCCGATAAGTAAATTCGTGAGTCGCTAAAAGCTCACTCAGTTTTCTTGACGCTGTTTACTTCCTTCTTAGTTCCAACTGAAGAAAACGCCCATTCCACCGCTCTCATTTTGGCTCAAGGTAAGCTGGGAAACATTTTTTTCCTGTTTGTAACTCGGACTCTTCCACCAGGTGGATGGCCAGACGAAGCAAAAGGGATGCACAAGTGATATGATCTTCAGCATTCCTTTTCTCATCCATTACATAAGCGGCATCATGACTCTCAACGAAGGCGATATGATCCTTACTGGTACAAGTGGTCGCTCTCTCGAAACTTTCAAGCTTTGTAATCTCCCTTTGCGTGACAGGAACTCCCCATGGCGTTGGACCCGTTAAAGCTGGCCAAACAATCACCGCTGGCATTGCGTCTCCAGCGGTTCAAATGACGTTCCCAGTGATAACTAGGCCGGACCCGGAACGCACAAAGTCTCCATTCCTCTCGGAATCTCTGGATGGAACTGATGTTCCACAATGATCCAAGGCTCCAATCTACCAGAACTTTACGTAAGTCACTTGCTCAACTCTTTTACTGTGGTTTTCAACTTTCTTTCCGTGAGGCAGAGGTTCGAGAGCAATACATAAGGTGTGGCATCCCAGGCTCTCGTTCGGAACGCGTTTTTGGCTGCTCGGACCCCGAGCACGGACTCGTCGTGGATCTTGCAAGAACTAAGCAGTGCCGCCCATGCAACAGAATCAGGCCTGAAAGGCATACTTTGCAGCAGCCATTCGGCACTTCTCACGTCTCCGGCTCGTCCAAGGATGCTGATCATGCAAGAGTAGTGCTCCTGCCGGGGCTCCAAGCCGTGCCCCTGGATCATCGTCTGGAAGATCTGGATGCCCTCGAGCAGCACTCCCTTGTAGCTGCAAGCCACCAGTGTGCCCATGAAGGAGATCTCGTCGGGTTCCACGCCTTCCATCTCTAAGAGCCGGAAGAGCTCCACTCCTCGAGCGCAGTGGATGGAATCTCCGTAGGCCTGGATCATGGTGTTCCAGGAAACCAAGTTTCGTTCCGGCATTGTGTCGAAAGTGAAGGCCGCTGTGGTGAGGAGGCCATTTTGAGCGTAGACGAAAACGATTGCGGTCCATGCAACCACGTCTTTCTCGGGCATTCCATCGAACATACGCTTTGCGGAGGAGAGATGCCTGTTCTGGGCATATGCTGTCACCATACTACTCCAGGAGATAACGTCGCGCACAGGCATGGTGTCAAACACTGTTTTAGCCTCTTCCAAATCTCCGGAAGCCACAAAAGCATGGAGCATTGCATTCCAGGAGACGTCGTCTTGCTCGGGCATGGAGTGGAATATCCTCTTCGCGGATGCTAGATGCCCTTCCAGGGCATATGCTTGGAGCATGACTGTCCACGTGGCTATATCCCTGTAAGGCATCCGGCCAAACAGAGATTCGCATTCGTTGAGCTGGCGGTGCAGGGAATATGTTCTAAGCATTGCGTTACACAGGAACGAGTCCGGACACAAAACACTGTGAAAGATTCTTTTGGCTGATGCCAGATCCCCGGCTTGAGAATATGCCAGGATCATGCAGTGGAGAGTGAGTGCGTTGGGCTCTCGCATTTTCTCAAAGAGATTCCCTGCCTGCTCAAGATGCCCATGATCTACATAAGCTTGAACCATGGCAGTCCAGGTTACCACGTTCCGCTGGGGCATTTTGTCGAAAAGATTCCGCGCGAGTTTGAGATACCCTGCTTGGGCATATGCTTGCAGCATCGCGTTCCACGCGACATTGTTTTTCTTTGGCATTTGATCGAACAATTCCTTTGCCGTGTGAAGATCCCCGGCGTGGGAATATGCTGTCAGCATTGCCGTCCAAGAGACGACGTCCCTCTCCGGCATTGCATCGAAGATCCTCTTGGAGTCTTGCAGATGCCCTCTTTGGGCATATGCCGTGAGGAGGATATTCCAGGAGAAGCCGTTAGGGTGGTCGATGGATTCGAACACGCGACGTGCCTCCTCGAGGCTCCCGCAAGCGCCATACATTTGGATCATACGGTTGTGAAGGTATTTGCTCCTGCTGTGGAGTTTGCTTCCCAGAATTTGCGCGTGGACTTCTCGAGCTCGCGACAGATCTCTCGAGACAGTGGCGGATTTGATCAGCGATTCTAGACAAGACTCGGTCTCGATTCCCATAAGACCATGAGAGAAAAAATCTTCCTAATTCTATGCTTAAAATTTCCATCATTGGATCTTTCTTTTTCCTTGACAAGCAAAATATATAAAATGCCCAGCGTGGAATCGCTGGGTAACAACGCAAACGTATGTCACGTTGCAGTCATGATGGGAAGGCTGGGGCCACACGGATTCGAACCGATGAAGCGCATTTCAAACCCTTCCAACGGCTGCATTTTGCGCCGGGTACACGTGGCCGGCTGGATGTTAAGAGCCGACGAATATTCCCCCATCGTCGCAGTTTTCGCCGAGGAGATTCCGGCTCAGACAGTGTAAGGTGGGGAGGAATGACGATGGCGGGCTTCTTCTTGAGCCCTAGGATTCCAGGGCATGCGCCTGTGGGAGAGGAGCAAGGAGGAGCGCTGCTGGATCGCTGCGATTCGTCGCGATCTCTGTGAGGTATTGTGATAATCAAGCTCCGGCGCCTCGAAATCGGCGATCGATCGGCGGATCGCGAGCCAGGCATGGCGGCATTGACACCGGGCGTGCTGATCAAGCTCTTGCAATCCATCGAGTCGGATGTGAAGCTGGGCGGGCAGTATCGTTCGGTTTTGCTCCAGGTCGTGGGGATCGTCCCGGCGCTGGCGGGCAGTGATCTGTGGCACAACCAGGGGTTTTACATCAAAGTCTCGGATTCCTCGCATGCGACCTACGTGTCTCTCGCCGAGGAGGACGACGATCTCATACTGAGCGATCGTCTCCAGCTGGGGCAGTTCATTCACGTCGATAAGCTCGAGCACGCATTGCCAGTTCCGGTTCTTCGTGGTGTGAGACCGCTCCCTGGCCGACACAAGTGCGTGGGTGATCCGGAGGACCTCGTCATGTCATCCTCGGGAGGAAGAAATCCTCCCCACTTCCAGTCCTTCCTCCAAGAGAAGGATTTCCCGAGCAAGTCCGACTCTTCGTCATCGAGCAGTGGAAGCGGAGGAGGATACTCTTCCGGTCACAAGGTGGCGAGAGGGTATAACCGGTCGTCCGCAGAGACCTTTGCTGCCAAGCTTGCGGAGCGTCTCTCACAAAAGCCTCTCGAGCCTGATTCGTGCGAGGAGATAGACGAAGAGAGACAGGCGAACCATGAGGAACAAAGGGGCCGTTCGAAGGGAAGAATTGTCAAGTCGAGGGTGTTTGACTCCATTCCAAGCCCGAGGACTGGCGCTCGTTCTATGTCTACTTCGCCAATGCGACGCCATTCCGCGACTGATAAGGAGTCGCCTAGACCACGGAGACGTGCTTCCGACGTTCCCGTTTTGACATCTCCTCGGACCAGGCAGCCGTCTCCTGTGAGCAAGAGATCATCGAGCACAAGCAAGGTTCATAAAGTTGACAGCAACAAGAGGAAGTCACTCGGCGGCGGTGGAGTGAAGTTGAGCGATCTGGTTGCTGCTGGTTCCAGGACACTGCGCAAAAGCTGGGAGGGTGCATTTGCTCAGAAGGAGGCCAAAGCTGCAACGGTGAAGCAATCAAAACCTGACTTGAAGGTAAGCTCTTTGGATTTTTGCGGGTCTTCATTGAAGTGTGGCACTTTCAACAGATTTCCATTCCAATTATTTCTAGTAGCAGAAACCAGGACAAGGGATTGCTGTCGCCGCAGGGGGATTCTCTTAAGCCTCCCATGAAGGTACAAGTTAGCGCCAAAACTGCGACGACTTTTCCTCCCGATGTGGCTAGCGTGTCTTGGGACGATCTACCAGCTGGCTTGGCTAACTTTGCAAAGGTGAGCAGCTCTCAAGGTTCTTGACTGCATGTAACTGTTCTTTTTAAGGATGCAATGCAAAGGAGAAATGCGGCGTCGTTGGCAGCGGTAGCAGCTCTTCAAGAAGCATCGGCGGCGGAAGCAGTCATACGTAGTTTGAAGTAAGCGCAAACATTTTTTCTCTCCTTACACCTCCTTTATTTCTTTTTTGGCAGTATGTTTGTAGAGATACGTCATCTTTCCAGACCGGAGAGACCTCAACCAACCGTAGAGAAGTTTCTGAACTTCCACAGATCACTTGAGCAGGCGTCTGCCGTCGCAGAAGCGCTACTCGTGAATCAGCAAGCTGTCTCCACTCCAGAGAAGCAGTCAGGAGGGAAGATAAACTTTTCAAATGCTTTGTTCGAGGAGAAGGCAAAGAATGCGAAGAACTGGGTGGAGTCAGCATTGGCATGTGACTTATCGGCGTTCTCAATGCACTGCAAAGGCCAGGCCAGCAAGCTGACGCCCAAAGATATGGTGCATCCGGTTATTGTCGTGGAAGGAAACTCGGTTAAGCCCCGCGTCCTGTCTTCGTCGGTCACTCCAGTGAAGCAGCCTGCGACTTTGGCCGCGTCACCTCGAAGAGCGCTATCCTCAGTCACCCCGACAGCCAACGAGAAGAAAGACAATTCAAGGACCGCGTCTCCGTTGAAGGCTACGTCGGCATTTGTCCGCAGGAATCTCACCGGGGGTGTGAAAGGAAAAACTTCCAGCCGAGACGGTGTTGGAGAGACGGTTTGGAGCAAGGGGGACGGAGTGAAGGAGACGGCTGACTTGGCCAAGATGACCCGGTTCGAATCGCAGTGCTGGTTCCTCAAGTTCATGGAAGAGGCACTGGACAAAGGCTTCCGCTCGGAGATAAAGCAGGAGCTGGAGAACAGCCAGTTAGCAGCGATATTGTCACAGCTCAAAAGGGTCAACGACTGGCTGGATCAGGTTGCATCGGAGAAAGAAGACGTCCCGGATCTACATCTTGTAGAGACGCTGGCCAGATTGAAGCGGAAAATCTACGAGTTTTTGATCAAGCACGTTGAGTCTGCTGCTTGTGCACTGGGCAGCAGGAGCAAGGCCAGCTCCTAGTTGAGCAAAACAGATTTTATCAAAGTTTTCTTTTCTGTTTCCAAGTTTTTTACCGAGTTTTTGTTGCTGATAGCGATTTTGTTTGTAAGGTTGTTCGGTGCTATGGCTTTCAGCCTGTGCAACCGGCTTCCTTGTGCTGACGGGGTGAGGTGGTATTGCAGGAGAGATGATCACAGCTCAACCAGGCCTGTGCGAATTGCCTCTGCTATTGCTGGTTCCGTGACGAACAGTGTCGAGCAACAAGGAAGAGGGTATGTTTCGCGTCTTTCCTATTCTGTTATAGTGATCGTTTCTCGTTTTCCAGCTTCCGGTTTCAGCTTTCAATTGGTGCTAAAGTCATTCCTCATCCTGACAAGGCAAGCGTTCCTTCTTGTTGGCTTTCTCCAAGTTTTCAGTACATTCAAAACAGGTGGAGAAAGGAGGGGAGGATGCATTTTTCATCAGTGACTTCGATGGTGGTGTGTTCGGTATCGCAGATGGTGTTTCTGGGTGAGTAAAAATTTCCATGTACGCTTTCTTACTTTTCCACTATGTGATAGATGGGCCGAGGAGAATGTCGACCCTGCATTATTTTCGAAAGAGCTGGTCAATCACTTGGCACAAAGTGTAACTTCGGAAGAAGTATTGCGTAAAGGATGTCTTTTTTCTTTTAAGTAATCGTTGGAATAGGTTCGAGGCGATCCAAAGGTGCTCCTTGGCAAAGCACACGCCGCAACGTCGTCAAAGGGAGCTGCTACAGCGTAAGTAACTGGTTTATAAAAAATTACTTGCTTCAACTTGTAGCTCCAAAGCATGCAGCATTGTAGCTACTCTGTTAGGAGCAGAAGGCCTACTGAGAGTTGCGAGCGTTGGGGATTGTGGCCTGAGACTTGTGCGTGATGGTAATGTTCGCTGGTTTACTTTTCTAGAAATGAAATCCCTGGCTTCTTTTCTGCAGGAAAGGTAGTTTTCGCAACCTCTCCTCAACAGCACTACTTCGATTGCCCGTACCAGTTCTCGTCCGAAGTTGGAGGCCAAACGGCTGAAGATTCTGCGGTAAATTATTTTCTGCAATCCCAGCAAGCTCACTCTTCGTATTTTCAGGTCCATGAAATAACAATCGTGGCCGGGGACGTTGTTGTGATGGGATCTGATGGTCTCTTTGATAATGTTTTCGATCGCGACATAGCGGCAACAGTGACTTTGTTCCAAGTCACGGATGTAGAATCAGCTGAAAGAACGGGTACATTGGTCTTTCTCTATTGAGTTCTTAACTTGGTTTCGTGCTTTCAGCGACAGCACTAGCCACCATGGCGAATAGGAATTCGAGGGATCCCAAGTATGAATCCCCTTACAGCACCGAAGCTATATATCAGGTTCTAAGTTTCATATGATGGTATTCTCCTCCCAGCTCGCTGTTATGCAGGGCTTTGACGTGCCAATATGGCGCAAGCTTCTCGGTGAAAAACTTACAGGTCGGAAGTAATCCTTGGAATCATTTATCTGGTTTGTGATCCTAACAGGCTTCTTTGTTTCTTTCTCTTTCGCAGGTGGAAAGCTAGATGATATAACGGTTCTCGTGGGAGTGGTGGCAGTGACCGAGATTGTAGAGGTGGAGGGCGAAAATGACGAGCAATCCCAAAGCTCTATCCAAAAATCGGAAGAAGCTGTTGTTACAAACGAAGGAATTTAATTCTTCTTGTTTCATATACTACATTCCTTGGCTTTAGCCATGGTTTGTGCCAATTCCCTTCGTAGCAGAGGTAAGCTCCCAAACTGAGCATATATTCTAATGCTCTTTGGCGCTCCTTTCCCCTTTTCAGCTGACACTGAAAGCGTTGGTCGCGAGAGAAAGAAATCACAACTAAGACCATTTTCAATCTCTTGGGTTTTGGTATCTTTTCAAAACAGCTCACAATTTTTTCTCCTTTTTTTTCATGTAACAGAAAGGGTGCTACTTGCAATATTTTGAGCTGATAGATATTGTTCTACTCGGTGCTATGATCATAGTTTTGGCTGTTCTTTTTAAACACTCGTACGGCAACTTCTCACTCGTACGGGTATTGCTGTAAACCCTAAACCCTGCCAAGCCGCCATTGCGAAGACCAGCTCTATGGAGGTGCCGCAGGTGGAGCGCTAGGATCACGAAATATGCCGCTGGAGGCGCGGCATTCTTTGTTGCGAGGTCACGGCGCGACGATTGATCCGGCATTGCGATTCTAGGTTTGTGCTCACTGGCGCTGCTGCTGGAAACCTCTTCCTCTGCGGTGCCCGGAGTTGCTGCTGCCTCAGGTACTGTGATTCTTGCTGCAAACATCTGCTCAAGGTTTTCTTTGCTCGGGCGATCGAGCGAGAGCAGCGGTAGCAGCGGCGGGGGATTTCGAGGGTGCATGCGTCACAAGGCACGAGAGCTTAAGCCGCGCCGTCATGTGGAGAGCAGCCGGCGGGCGGCTCAAGCACAGGGGACTTAGAACAGGACGAGCAGACTTCTATCGATGGAACACCACAGCTGCCGGGCCAGAGAGCTTTCACGAGCTCACAGATTTGAGCTTGCACATCCACGCTAGCACAGCTTACAGTCAGCTACGCAGCAGCGATAGAAGCCGTCCCTGCAGCTACTCGGCGGCGGCGGCTCCTCTGGAGCACAGCTTGACAACTTTGGACGCGGCACTGAGCAGTGTGATCCAGCTCCCGCTCTTCAGCAATCCACTGCTCCAAATCCTCCCTCCCGACGGGGAGAGCTCGTCCAGGACGGTGTTTCGGATCGACCAGAAATGGCCTTTCCAGCTCAAGGCGGTCGCTACCGAGGCGTGTTTCGGAGAGGAGGAGGAGGTCGGTGTTCTTCCGGAACTGGAAGAGATTCACGACATCTCCCTCGAGAGGTCTTCCAAGTTTGAAGGTGGCAAGGCTCTCAAGGCGGCTAGAGCTAGAGCAAGGCGGCTTTTCAACAGGCAGCAGAAGCTCGAGCTGGATGCTTGGGATGCTGCGGTGAGGGAGTACAGGAAGATTCTCGTGGAGATGTGCCGGAAGAAGCTAGCGCCGAATCTGCCGTTTGCAAAGTCTTTGATGGTCAGCTGGTTTGAGCCGGTTCGCGACGAGATTGCAAAGGAGCTCAAGGCCATCGAGAAGGAGGAGCCTGGTGAAGACAGGAGTCACTATGGACCACTTTTGAAAGGAGCTGGCCTCACTGCTGATGTTCTTGCGGTGATCACGATGCACAGGCTCGTCGCGCTGATGATGCAAGACGTTGATAGCGGATGCATTAGACTTGCAAACACTGCTGTTCTTATTGGTGACGCAGTGGAACAAGAGGTATGTCAACTTCGAGTTTTACAATTTTAATCCTCACGTTTTGTTTTCCTCTAGATCAAAATCCGCAGGGCACTAAAGAAAAGAAAGCCGAAAGAACTTGCCGAGGAGGCGGAGCCTCCTACTCCAGAAGAAGAAAAGAAAGAGTACTTGAAAGACAAGCTGAGGAGAGCTATCATAGAAAGGCCCAGGAATGTCAAGGAGATATTGAAGTCCTTGGATCCATCACAGCCCTGGCCGTCGTTTATTCAAGCTAAAGTACGTAAGTTTTCATGTTTTGATTCGTTTTGTTGAAATGAACCTGTGTAACACATGCAGTTGGGATGCCGCCTTATCGACATTATGATGTCAAATTCACACATCAATGTTCCAGTAAGTGACTGTCCCGAAGATGGCACCGAGATTCGGCCTGCTTTTAGACATGTACTCAAGGTACCAAAGGGAGGGTAAGCGTCATCCACATTTTCTAAAAATCAAACAATTTATTCATATTTCTTTTCCTTCGCATACAGGCTTCTGCGTAGCTACGGAGCAATAGTATGCGATCCTCATTTGAGGGGTCGAATCGATGACTCGGTATTTCAGCTGTTGAGTTTTTGTTGCCAGAGCTGACCGTTCTTTTTCCACAGGCCAAATTTATAGTTATGCCATACATGCCCATGCTAATTCCTCCTCGAGCTTGGAAAGGGTAAATACGTTTTATTCGTATTCTGTTTCTTCTTAATATTTTACATTCTCTAGTTATCACAATGGAGCATACCTGCACCTGCGGTCCGTTATAATGCGGACACACGGTTCTAAACAGCAAAGAGAAGCTGTGCGAAACACACCAAGAGCACAACTGCAGCAAGTTTTTCGGGTATCTGTGAAGCCTCAAAATATCTTTATTTAACAAACTTTTTCTTAGGCACTCGACACCTTGGGAGCGGCATCCTGGAAAATTAACAAGGAGGTTTTTGAAGTTATAGAAAAGCTTTGGAGCGCGGGAGGTGGAATAGGTGGCCTTGTGGACCGAAAAGATGTGAGTGATGAATATGTTTTGTCTCATTTATGCGAGCCGTGCGTGATCTTTTAGGTGCCATTGCCACCCAAGCCTAATACCGAGGATGAAGCTGAGATGAGGAGCTGGAGGAAAGTTTTTTATAAAGGTAAGCGCACAAACAGTGAGAGGAATTCTCAACGGTGCGATCTCGAGCTGAAGCTGGCGGTATGTTTTTCTTGTCGCTCTGTTTTGTTTTTTTCTCTTTCTCTCTCTGAAAGGTGTTTGCAGGTTGCTCGATCACTGAAGGACGAAGAATGTTTCTATTATCCACATAATTTGGACTTTCGTGGTCGTGCCTATCCTATGCATGCGCATTTGAACCATTTGGGTTCTGATGTGTGCCGCGGTATGTTACTGTTTGCTAAGGGACGTCCTCTAGGGCCGACAGGTCTACGTTGGCTCAAGATACACATTGCCAATGTCTTCGCTAATGGAGCTGATAAGCTACCCTTCGATGGAAGGGTGGCATTTGCAGAGAGTAACTTGGAACACGTTGTAGCTTCTGCAAACCAGCCTTTGAAAAATCGTTGGTGGTTAAAAGCGGAAGATCCATTCCAGTGCTTAGCTGCGTGCATCGACCTGAGAAATGCGATGCATTCTCCAAACCCGGAGTACTACATTTCTCATCTTCCAGTTCATCAGGTACTCGAGCATTTCCTAATGACTGATTTCGATTTCGTGTCTTACGTTTAGGATGGATCTTGCAACGGTCTCCAACACTATGCAGCTCTTGGACGAGACAAAGTAAGCCGCTCATTTTGATACTTGGATATATCGCTTATGATCTTACTTGCAGACTGGCGCCAGAGCAGTGAACTTAATAGGCGCGGATTATCCTGCAGATGTATATTCAGGCATAGCCGCCCGGTATAGCTTTTGAACAACTGCAAGATTCTCGGTTACTGATAAGAGTTTTGTTTGATCAGTGTACGTACACTAGTGGAGGAGGACGCACGCAAAGATCCAGCCGCAGTTTATGCCAAATTATTAGTAGGACATGTGAGTATCCATTTCGGTTTTCTTTACCTTTCTCATCAATTCTTCGGTCACAGGTGGATAGGAAACTAGTGAAACAGACAGTGATGACTTCGGTTTACGGCGTGACATACGTTGGAGCACGTAACCAAATAACAAACAGACTTAGGGACAAGGGCTTCATATTAGATGAGCCGACCTTGTACCGTACTGGTTGCTACGCTGCTAAGGTATCATCTCTCGAAAACTTTCCTTTTACTTTCAAGCTTTTCTAACTGTTCATGCTCCGATAGGTAACTCTGAACGCGCTTGGCGAAATGTTTGGCGAGGCAAGGCTCATTATGAATTGGCTAGGCCAGTGCGCAAAGGTATCTCCAGGTTTTTGTTAAGAGGACTCCTCTCGAGTTCCACTGTTGCAGGTAATTGCCAACGACGGCGACTCCGTGAGGTGGATCACTCCTTTGGGACTTCCTGTCGTGCAACCATACCGCAGGCCCGGGAGACATGTGGTATGCGATCATATACTTTGACGTTCCACCATCTTCTCGTTGGCTCACATGATTGATTTCCTTCGCAAGGTGAAAACTTGTCTCCAATGTCTTATTCTAAGAACGGATACGGATCAACCGGTATGGTTCCAGTTTTCTCTTCTCTTTCACGTTTCTGATCGCTTGACTCTTACTCAAAAACCAGGTGTTGGCAGCGAGGCAGCGCAGCGCGTTCCCACCAAACTTTGTGCATTCCATGGATGGGTCGCATATGATGATGACCGCCGTGGCGTGCCAGGAGGCCGGGCTCACCTTCGCAGGTACTTCAAATTTTCTCCACGAAGAACAAAACCCGATTTTTCTCATGCACAGGGGTCCATGACTCGTTTTGGACGCATGCCGGAGACGTGGAGCGCATGAACGTCATACTGAGGGAGAAATTCGTGGAGCTCTACGAGCAGCCAATTCTAGAAAACGTAAGGCTCGTCTCTCTCACGTTATAGTGCCATGGATCCAACGATTTTTTCTTTTTTCCTTGCAGTTGCTAGAGAGTTTCCAGAAACGTTGGCCCAAGCTTAAATTTCCAGATCTCCCCGTGCGTGGGGATTTAGATCTCAAGGAAGTTTTATCGTCGCCGTATTTTTTCAACTAAAAGCAAGCGAACGATCTTCTGCTCGTATATTATATTATACATATATAAACGAATGCCGGGTGCTGTGAGGAATGACGTGGCACGCGCCCATTGGTCGGGCCACCTATGGCCCGCATTGTGATTGGCCGGATGTCTTGAACCTAAAAGAGGCCGCCTTTAATCCTGATCTGTTAGAAGCACTGCGGCTTTAAATCCAGGGTTTTGGAGCTAGGGTTTACAGCGATGGAGGCTCGGTGCGCGTCTTCCGTCTTTCTGCTGCTCCTTCTTTCCAGCCTTTGCCACGCGAAGGTCTTCTTTGAGGAGAGATTCGATGGTAATTTCGATCCAGCGGCATTCTCTCGATCTGTTGGTCAAATTGATGATCTTGTGTGTGTAAATTCTAGATTCTTGGGAGAGCCGCTGGGTGAAATCCGACTGGAAGAAGAGTGAAGATGCCGCTGGCGAGTGGATCCACACCGCCGGCAAGTGGTTTGGCGATGCGGAGGCAGACAAAGGTACCCATTGGGTTTTGTGAAGGAAGATTTGTGTTACAGCTTCGGCTTTACAGGCATCCAGACGTCTCCAGACGCGCGCTTCTACGCAATCTCGGCCGAATTCCCAGAGTTCAGTAACAAGGACAAGACTCTGGTTGTCCAATTCTCCGTTAAGCACGAGCAAAATCTCGATTGCGGAGGTGGATACATCAAAATTCTGGGTGGAGATGTGGATCAAAAGACTTTTGGTGGTGATACGCCTTACAGGTATTCTTTTTCTTCTTTTTAATTGGAAATCTTGCTCATGGTTTGTTCGTGGGCTATTTCCTTACAGTATTATGTTTGGACCGGACATTTGTGGGTCGGGCACGAAGAAAACCCACGCCATTATTGCTTACAATGCAAGCAACCATCAAATGAAAAAGGAAGTGCCATGCGAAACAGACCAGCTCACTCACGTCTACACTCTGGTTATTCGTCCCGATTCTACGTACAGCATTTTGATCGACAATGTAGAGAAGAAACAGGGAAGCATTGAGAGCGACTGGAGTCTTTTGCCACCAAAGAAGATCAAGGATCCCGAGGCCAAGAAGGTCTGTTTTTTTCTGTTCGTTTCTGAGTAGTAACGTATGGTCTTGTTGGCAGCCCGAGGATTGGGTTGATGATGAATTCATTGTTGACCCGGAAGACAAGAAACCAGAGGTAACGTTCTACATAGCCGAGTTGTGGACTTTACACCGCTGAGTTTCTCTTTCTTTCTTCTCAGGGTTATGATGACATTCCAGCAGAGATTCCCGATGCTGAGGCTGAAAAGGTAAAAGATTTTAGCTTTGTTTTGTGTATGTATCTTATCTTGTCTTTCTCATTTCACAGCCCGAAGGATGGGATGACGAGGAGGACGGTGTGTGGACTCCTCCGACGATTCCAAATCCCGAATACAAGGGCCCCTGGGAACCGAAGGTACTGATGAAAACTTTTTTTTACTCTGAGTAATTTTTCGTTCCCTCTGTAGAAAATCAAGAATCCTGCTTTCAAGGGAAAGTGGAAGGCTCCAATGATTGACAATCCTGGTAGGTTAATCAGCAACATTTCCAGAGGTGATAAATTGACGAGCTCTTTTATTGTAATAGATTACAAGCCAGACCCAGAGCTATACGTCTTCCCTTCATTGAAATACGTTGGAATTGAACTCTGGCAGGCAAGACACTGTTGTCCGGTTTGTTGTCCGGTTTACGTGACTCCTCCTGTTGAACTGCAGGTCAAGTCAGGATCTCTCTTTGACAACATTCTCGTAAGCGACGATGTCGATTATGCCAAGGCCCTGGCGGAGGAGACATGGGGAAAGAGCAAGGAGGCCGAGAAGAAAGCATTCGAGGAAGCACAGAAAAAGGTAAAGGATCCTTGCGACCAAAATTATATTGTTTAAATTGACTTGGGTGTCCCGTCTTTAGGATGAACCGCCGGCCGACGACGACGACGACGAGGTAAAGAAAAAGAGCCCTCCATGGTATTGATCTTGTCACTTTGCAGGACGACTCGGATGTCAAGGAGGACAAGGAAGAGGACACACAAGACACAAAGGAGCATGTAAGCATCCTCTCTGTTCATTCGGTAGCTGTGTGTGTTCACAATGTGCGTGTGTTTTTTCAGGACGAGCTTTGAGGTTTCCGTTTTTCGCTTGAAGAGACGTTGGCGTAGAGAGACATCGGGGCACAAAAAGGACATTTTTTCCCCATACCTGACATTTCCGGATTGCAATTGCTTTCCAAGCAGTAATTCCAATTAATATGAAAAGTTTGTTTTTTTAATTACTTATTCAAGAATATTCTAGAAGGATGCTCGGTTTCCAGGATGCAAAAAAAGTGGTGCTCAAGTCCATTGTTCAAGCAGTGCATTGTGAAGGTTCTTCTGGTGATTGTTCATAATTTTATTGTTCTTTTGATTCTCAAACTTTGATACGATGTTTCTATATCGCTGTTGGTTGAATGATTTGGTTATCGTTTAAAATTCCGCACTTAGAAAGTGTTGCTTGCAAGTGGCGGTACCACCACGGGGATTTGAAGGACAAATTGCACGTGTGTATTTAACGGATGCAAGTTTTTGAGAATGAGTGCGGTTTGCAAAATGAAGGCAGTTGCAATGCCGTCGTTTTTGATTTTGCTTACTGCTCTCTGTGTGAATGGGCAAGCGACTGCTCCGACCATCAAAAGTATCTTCGGTTCCTTCGATCAAATTGGAGATATTGTTTCGAAGTTTAATTTCTCCCAGGTATGTAGACTTTGTCGTTCAGATACAAGTCTTTTACTGAGTTTACCCTTTGCAGACTGATTCTTCTGGTCAAGGCTCCCTATATGTTGCCTTAGCTCCAGCTTTTGGCGATCTGAATGCAGAAACTATAAAGAGTCTGGGCACCAATCTCTTGATTTCTATTGCTGGAACAAACAGGGTGATTTCGAAGTTGGATGGCACAGCACGTACATGGAGCAAAGTAGAGTCGGTCATGTCGCAGAATCCGTTCCTTGAGCCAGTAGATGCAGGAATCAGGAGGTCAGACAAGTATATAAGAGACGACACAAACTACTTCCAGTTTGATAAATCTCTGCGACCTGAAGTTTGCCAGGAGGTAAAGCAGTTTAATCCTTGTCTCATGTTGGAATTGTATTATATAATTGTTCTTCCCTCGAACAGCTGAAGACATGGTTCTTTGAGAAACTTATCCAGGACAATGACGTACTTGCTTCTACCAGGATTCAATCTGATGCACTCCCTCAGATTGTGGCATATGCAGGCTCTGCTGTCCCGAAGTTCTTAACAATCTACAAGCACAAGTATCATGAGAAGACCCTGGTTGATATTGGTGTGCTGAGATATCCAGACTCCATAGATAAGCTCTTTAAGGTTAGCAGGAAACTTTGATACAACAGTGCCATTAACGTTTTTTATTTCATTTTGTGATATAGTTGTACCATCTGCAGCTGACTGTTTGGGCTGATAGCACGCTCGTCTTAGGCGTGGAAAAGGAAACTAATGGCATTACTGGAGGTAACCATGTACTTTAGTCATTTTGTTTGCCTCTATTGTGTTGTTTATGCTGTGCAGAGTTTTCCTACCGCAAGTTTAAACCGAGAATAAGCGTCATATCTGGGATGAAGAAGGAAATTCAGGCAAAGGCTGCTAACGAAGCCAAATCCATGTTCACAATTTGAAAACTATGTACTGATATTCAAAATATACATAAACTCATAACGAACCAAATATACATAAATGCTGTTGCTTGAATAACTGCGAATATAAATTCTGGAAATGTTAGTTTTTTGTTATATATATATATATATATATATATATATATATATATATATATATATATATATATATATATATATATATATATATATATATATATATATATATATATATATATATATATATATATATATATATATATATATACATATATATATATATATTCAATTTATCATTAGTGCGTTATGGTAACTGCAGTTGTTTAAATTTCTTAATGAAGCGCATAAATAAATAAAACAGCTTCTATAGAATATTCTCTTCTTGATTTTCTAAATTTAAGTTCGTTTTCACAAGATACTCCACTATTACTATGGCTCTATGTTGGGAATAACTATTTTGTCCATTACCATTACTGTTGCTCTATGTTGGGAATAATTATTCTGTCCATTGAAGTTGTTGGAGAATTTGAACAATTTGAGTCAGACAGTCACTACTAATAGTACTACCACTAGGGTATGCTTGCCTTATAAATACTTAGGTTGCTTGATTTATTTTGGCAAGAGTGCCATCCATCATGGGTAAGCTCATTCCACTTGTTGCTTTTATGAGCTTTGTCTTGAGCGCAAATGCCCAGTTTCAGCTGATCCCTACAATTGTGAGTATCTTTGGTGGATTAGACCCAATTGGCAATATCATCCAGCATTTTGACTTCAGCAAGGTGATGCATTTAGTTTTAGCTAGCATTTGACTAATGGCTATACATGACAGGTCAACATTGTCGACTCAACTGTCCAGGACTATCTTAACATCGGATTGGCTCCTGCATATGGGACACTCAGCACGGATGAAGTCAAATTCATGGATGACCATTTGAAGGTCATGATAGCAGGAGTTCATGTGCAACTCGGCAAGTTATCACATAATGAACGTACATGGGATAAAGTTCAATCACTCTTTCTGCAAAACCCCGTGCTTGAGCCACTCAGTGATCTTACTACAAGAGCTACTAAATATACAAAGGATGACACTTACTGGCTCAACACGGATGGATCGCCTAGACAGACTGTGATGAATGAAGTAAATGTTCTATGTTCGAGTTTCATAATTATTTCATATCTTTGAGTCTACAGGTCAAGAGTTGGTTCACAGAACTGATAGCAGATGCTGACATCCTCAACTCCACACGCATTGATATCAATATTATGGGTAGAATTGTTGCTCACACGGGTACAAATATCGAGAACATTATAAATTTGTTCTACCAGCATGAATACCATGAAAAAACTATGCTTGAGATAGGAGTGCTCAGATATCCTGATATAGAACACCCCTACTTCAAGGTTAGTAAAACAGCTTTTAAAGGATTTTTCTTTTTGTTGAACTTCTTAATTCAGGTGTACCGTATCAAACTTTCTGCGTGGTCTGATTGCCGTCGATACGTAATACATGAAAGTAACACAAATGGCATTTCCGGAGGTATTACTTGTTGACTTGTCCTCCCGACGTTACATTAACTTTCGTTGACTGGCTTGTAGAATTCAACATGCGAAAATTTCAACCAAGAAAGAGTGTCATAGATCAACTCAGCCCCAAAGCTACGCAGACTGCAGTGTGCGGTGCTGAATGCATGTTTGATCCTACCAACTGTGGTAATTGCAAACCGACAGCTAGTTTCAACCATAACATCGCTAAGCACAAAGCTATCACTTCCAAGAACAAGTTTGTTCAGAAAGCTGAAGAGATGTTTGCTCCGTACTATTGATCATGAAAAATGATTAATAAATATATACAATCTTAATGGAATGACCAGGACTTGCTCCAAATGTTGTTTCAAATGATGATTGCAGTATTTCCACTGGAGCTTCTTTTATTACTACTGCTTGTGTGACATAGTCAATGTACACCTCAATTGGACAGCAATACGTTTTTGATGAGCAATGAAAATGGAAAATTATGAGAAGCAAATGCTACGTGATCAGAGTCGAATTAAAGCCCATTCTTCCTGTAGTGAAGACTAGTTCTTCCTTGAGTGGGAGTAAACATTGGGCATCAAGCAAGGTGCAGAGCTCAGGGAACATAGAATTTACAAAAGATTGTTGGCAATCCACAAGTGTAGTGAGAGTGGGAAATGTTTCAACTCAAGTGCGGGACCAGTCATCTCTTGGGTGGATCTTGTGCTAGAGTCTATGTTTAGCTCACTCCTAAGGCACTTGTAATTTTCTTGTATTTTAATTGTGCAGCTTAAAAACATGCAAGACTCTCCTAGCATGCTTGAACTTCATCGTTAGCAACAGCAGTAACCTTTCTCGTCAACCGCACTGTAGAACTTGGCGGACCTCAAGCTGGCGATGGCACACCCAGATAGGTGGCGACCATGACGAAGAACGTTTCCCTGTAGCACTTGGGACCGTGGCACAGAAAGGCCTCGTCAGGGCCCTGATATTTCCTGGCTTGCCAATCGTGTAGTCCTTCCCTCTCGCCGGAACTTGGAATCATCTGTGGCTGCCAGCGGCCGGAAGCTTGAGAAGGAGAATGGTCGACGACTTGCAGAGAACTAGGCGAGGAATTCATATCCGCGAGCTGAGCTTCAGAGTTATGAGATGGCGGTATGCTTTCGACAGCACCAGCACTGGCTCTTCCGCTCGAGGTACGTCTTACATCCTTTTTCTTTTGACTCAATGTATTAAACCGTGCATTTTCTCTATTTGCTCTTGGGAGGCTATTTTCCTTTTCACGGCATCAGGACTAATGAGGAGCACCAGAGATCCAAGAAAGCCTTGGAAACGTAAGCAAATCTAGCTTTGGAACCAACCACAGCCAGAGAAGCGGCCCAGCCGCACCCAGCGCTCGCGCCCCACAAGGAGGTCTGTTGCAGCTACCTAGGCTCTCCATGTAAATTTGAGAAGGAATTTGAGAAGGAAAAGCATTGTCATTGTCAGATAATATTCATTCATTCATTAGCTGTTTACGCATGGCGCCCACCAAGAAGCCAATATTCTGCCAAAAACAAACCTTTTCATTTCCTAAACAACATCTATCAATAAGAGATAAAGTGCAGACCTGTCAACATTAAGCTCAATCCCACGTATTCCAGAGTAAGCTCCTAGCTCTGGTACGTTATAACTTCTACTCCCACGTATTCCAGAGTAAGCTCCTAGCTCTGGTACGTTATAACTTCTACAGGAACCAAGCAAGCAAATCCAGTCATCTACAATTGGCATGAAAGGCATCTCTTCAATCATAGTGCAAGCTTCATGCAAGAAACCCGAACGAGCTAACAAATCCACCATACAGTGGTAGTGTTGCTTGGTGGCATGGAAATTATAATCTATGAGCATTGACACAAAGTACTTTAGACCACAAATTACGTCACCAAGGTGGCTGCAAGAAAAAAACAAGCTGATGAATGTTGCATCATCTGGGTCACAGCCTTCCATCTTCATCTCCATATGTAGGGATATAGCCTCTACAAAGTGCCCATTGTAAGTATTCGCTGCCATTAATACGTTCCAGGAGACAGTGTCTCTAGCTTGCATTCCTCCAAAGAATCTCGTGGAATCGTCCAAGTTCCCAGCATGAGCAGCCAACATCACATTCCAGGACACAAGATTTCTCATCGGCATTATTTGAAAGAGAATCTTGGCTTCCTTTAGATACCCGTTCTGGGCATATCCGTCTAGCATGGAGTTCCAAGACACTAGCGTAAGGTAGTGCATTCCATTAAAGATATCCACGGCATCTTTTAGATGGCCGTTTTGGGCATATGCCGCCATCATGGCTGTGGTAGAAACTATGTCCTGCTGGGGCATGGAATCAAACATGCACTTCGCCTCCACAAGGTGCCCGTTTTGGGCATACAGTGAGAGAAGGATTGTCCACGTTGCCAAGTCACAGTACGACATTGAATAGAAAACGCAACGTGCCTCCTCCACGTCACCAGTGTGACCGTACGCCGCCAGCATGGCATTGTGCGACACTATGTCGTGCTCCGGCATGGTTGAGTAGAGGTTCTTTGCTTCCGCGAAATGCCCCGCCTGGGAAAATGCGTTGAGGAGAGCATTTGTAGAGACAAGGTTTCTCACAGACATGATTCCAAACCATTGCAGTGCGTCATTAAGGCTGCCATGTTTGATTATTCCTGATAGCATGGAATTCCAGGAAACAACGTCCCAGCAAGGCATTGAGCCGAAGAAGGATCTGGCCTCTTTAAGATGCCCATTGAAGGCATATGCTGCTAGCATGATATTCCAAGAAACCAAGTCGTGTAGGGGCATGGCGTTGAAGAGGTGCCAAGCCTCTGAGACTGTGGCGTGCGTGGAGAAAAGAGCGAGCATTGTTGTCCAGGACACAATGTTTCTTTCTGGCATGGAGTCGAAAAATGACCGAGCTTTGGAGAGATCCCCATTGTATCCAAGTGCTTTCAATTTTAGGTTGCTTTCCAAGAGCATGGAAGTTCTCCCTATCATTTATCATCATAGCAACATTTCTCTCGAGAGAAACAAAAATTTAGAGCATTGATTGGACAATAGAATTGTTTGAATTCAAAATTTTGTTTTACATTCGTTTTCATTTCTTGACAAACCCAAGGTTGTTTTCGGCGGCATAGCGCTCCATGAAGCGCATGAATCTGTCCCACTCGCCAATGTTCCTCATCACGTACTTGGCCTCGATCTTGGCCGGCTTCCCGTTGACAAACTTGGCGCTCACGTCCACGGACTGGAGCACGCCCTCGTCGTCGATCATGTAGATGCCCGTGATCTCTCCCATCTCTCGGGAGGAATCAAACACCGATGGCTGGTCGAAGACGAAGGTGGCCACCCCGTTTCGTTGGTCCTGCGATCGGGTGAGAGAGATGTCCGGGACGACGAGCTCGTCCACGCCACGGATGAATTGGATGCTGGGCTTTACCATGCGCACCACCGGCCTCACTCCGGATCCACTCTCCTGTGTGGCTGCCGCCCACACTGTGCTCAAGAGCTGCCTCGAGCTCGACCTTGTGCCGCCGCCTAGGTGCCATGACGAGAGTGGCTTGAGCTCGCTCCAGTGAGGATTTCGAGAGAGCGATGCGGAGGCTAGGCCTGCACAAATATTCATCACTTAGTTTGGCAGAAGAATCTCGATCGACAAAAAACTTGAGTTTCACGGAAGAAAACACACAAATTACAATCGAGGAAAATGAATGGCAATACCCTGGGGAAAGAAAGACTGCTAAGCCAAAGATTCTCTCTAGAATGAAGAGAATGCAGGTGATTGACGACGGGATTTCTGTGACCGAAAGATTCATCCAAGCTCCAAACAAGGATTTCAATCCAAGGAACGTCAAAAGGTGAGGAAGAACTATACCCGCTCGAGAGAGGAGGAATGTTGCTGCGCGGCGGAGCGGGGGAATCCGTGTCCGTCGCTGCCGCTCGCTGGCGATGGATGCGGCGTAGAGCGGCACATAGCGCTGGTGCTGCTGCCTCTGGCCGGTGGACGCAGCCGCCGAGGCCGAGGCGCTCGTCGACATAAGTCTGCTCTGTCTGATCGCTCTCGCCCCATTCCCTACCACACACTGCACACCCGAATCTCGAATATTCCACACATGCTGATTATCCGTTTCTTTTTCAACAAAATGTGTTACTGGATTCAGGGTCCAGTTCTTATTTAAATAATTAATAGATTATGTCAAAATTCGAAATTCTCATGTATCTCTATAAGCATATTATCATGTCTTAGAAGCATCTAAAGGTTTAACCAGTAAATTAAACCACTCAAAAAAGCTTTGTATTAAAGAATTAATTTTTTATGAGAAGCAACATTATTTGCTGAAATTTTATTTGATGCAATGTTTTAATATTATAATGCAACTATAATAAAAATATAGCTATAACTTATTGTGAATCTATAATGCTACTTTGGAGAGACACCTTTGAAAAGTCTTACAAATGATTAAGTTTTTTTGTTTAACAAGTCGAAGTGTGACTTTCTTAAATGAGGTGGTATTTTAAAAATGACTAACACTACTTGTATAGTAAATTATAAAGTGTTTAAAAAAGTAATTATAGTTTTGTCATTTTCTTTTTCCTTGATGACAACTTTATGACAAAATAAAGGATGATAAGAAAATCCCTTCAACCATTAAAGGAATATTTGACCATAAACATAAGTGCTGGGTCTATTTAGTATAATCATCTCATAAATCACCAAGCTTTTATTTACAAGTAAATTAAGTTTCTTCACCTCTTTAAAATTTCAGATTGTCTTGAATGCCCCATTTAGCCTTCACAAGCATTAAGCTCTATAGAAGTTGTTTCTTGAATTTTTACCATGGGATATGGAAGAGTTATCACAATAGACTCCTAAGTTATATCTACAATGAATTTTGTCATATCACTTTAACATTCTTTTATCCCTTCACAAGAGTATAATTCTTTCCATGATGTCTAGGTTTCTAAAATTGCCTTCTACTTTATCTTTCTTCTATTAGTCTAAATAAAATTTGTTATCCATTCTTTAAGCCTTGACATGGCAATGGTTTTCCTCCTTGAATATAAGATTGATTGATTATCATAATGACTATTCTATTGACTGAGTTGACTAGCAACTTTGATAAAAAGGTCTAAATCTTGATGGAGCTTGGTAATAGTATCAGTGAATATTGTCAAAAAATCCTTCCTAACCTTCTACTTTATTAATATATATTCAGAAAAAGAAATATTAATAAACAAAAATATGTTGGTTTGTGAACTGATATAATCTTATGAAAAACTAAACTAAGTCTACAACCCAGATTTTCTAGTTTTGAAAGCCTAAGAAATTTTCAGTTATTTCAGTGTATTCTAGAGCATAGACCATTCTTGAGCTCATGAGCTAAAGAGTTGAGCTCACAAGTTAAGCTCAACTTTAAATTTTAGTATAATACAAATATTATAAATTTTTAATAAAATTAAGGTTTATGGTGAACTTAATATTTTCACTCTTTACACTTTATATAAATAAAAATGTTTTAGAAGACACTTTTTGTCCAAAAATTTAAATACTTATTGTAGGGAGGTTCGCTATAACATAAAATAAAATAAAATTTGTTTGAAGAAAATGTAATCTTGTCAATTCCTTAAATCCGTACTATGTGCTTTCTAGCTTTTAAATATCAACTTTGTAATGAGTTTAAAAATTATTAAATTTGAAATAATATTCTTTTGAAAGGCCATATAACTGTTTTAAAGGGAAAAAACAACCATTAATGTAAACTTGTTACTTATAAAAGAGAGAAAATAAAGACTTAGTTCTTCTTTAGAATACATTTTTAAGGTATTTGTTATAGCATAGTATTTATAATTTATGGATCTTCACTTGTACTCTCTTTCAAAAAGAGGGAAATACACACAAATGTTTGTGAGTTCTAATATTGTTAATTTCAACTTTTACAATATTTCTTCCTATAGTAGTAATTCAAGGGCTTAATGGTACAATACTCATTCTGTTGTGTAAACCACATAAAGATAGAATCACAAATTGGAGAGAAATACAATGATAAAAAGTGAAATAAATTAGGTGTAGAAATTACTTATTTTAGGAAATTACAATTTCATGACTTTTAAAAAGTGCTTTAGATATTTTTGGCTTTCGGTGGAAACAATGGTGATAATTAATATGATGGCGTTTATGCTCTTGTGATACACTGCAACATCACTCGAAAGTGTATAAAATAAAGTATATTTTTTATTAATTATATAAATTATAATAAATTTATATTATTGATAGGGAATAAACAATAATAGACCTAGTTATCTTCAAAAGTCTTTTATAATTCAGCAATAGTAAAGTCTGTTTAATATATATAAATGTTCACTTTAGAATCTTAGTGTTAGGTGTTAATGAATATGTAATACATATGCTTGCAAAAAGTATATGCCTTCCCATGTTCCTCGTGCTTAGTAAAGTTTGGACATATTTAAGAAGGAAAGTCTTGAATGATAATTATGTATTTTCCACCTTCCATTTTAACTATGCACTCCTTTGCAAGCATAGTGATATATGTTGTGGAAAGAATATCACACTCAAGCATTAAGCTAAGCTTATTTTACCATATTTTTAAGTGGAGATAGTATCAATAAATTTAACTACCTTATCTTTTCTTACTAACTGTTTATGCATTTTTATAGGAATAGTGTCAATTTTGTCTCTCAAGTCTCCAAATCTTCTCCTCTCAAGATTAAAACTAGATTTTTCAAGGTTTTGAATCTCATCTAAAATGAATACAATTGGCCATTCTTTAGGTATTACTGTCACTATATTGTATGATTGCCATTGATGGTGTAGCAATATAGTTAGCACTATTTTGAAAATCCTACTTGCTTTCATTCCCCATAGAAATATGGGGCTGGAATAAAACTAGATTTGTCACCATGGATTGAAGCCTAATAGTTGCCCCTCAAAAATATTTTAATTGGTTAAAGATTTTGGGATATTTGGGTGTTATTGGGTTTAAATAGTATTAGGCTGAGTGATTTCTTATGAAGTCTAAATTTAGAAGCTTACAACACTCTTGCTATTATGCTCTATGTATTGGTCCTATTTAGTCCCAATAACTATTTATGAAAAGTGTCTAGATTAGTAAGTGATCCAATGTGATTCCATATTTAATAAATTTTTGTGAGTATCCCAAAGACTAACACCTTAGGTGAAAGCCTCGAAATGTGCTTTCATATAAAAAGGGAGGGGGTTCCAAATATATAATAGAGATAATGGGTAGGTTGGGCATAGTCAACTAACTTAAGGCATAATTTAACTCCCCATTTGCGTACTTGTTCTTCTTTTATGCGTGTTATATAGACTTAGTCTTCTAAAATGTAATAGTCCTGTAGACCTCTAAAATTGGGTGGTTTTAGGCTTGAACTTTGAAATCAAGGGTAGTTACAAAACTTCATCATCCTTAGAGATTAAAGAAGTTAACTAATTTAGTTACCTCTGTTTGCTTTTTCCTCTTTTTGTTTTCCTTCTTCAATTTGTGAATGTCCTTTTATAAATTCTCAATCTCAATATCTTTAGTTGTATGCTGTAATGGTGTAGCCTCAAGCCTAAGCTCTTCCTCTTTGATTTAGCCTCAACCTCGTTCTCGTTGGGGTTCCAAATGTATAGTAGGGATAGTGGTTAGAATGCATGTTCAACCACTTGAGACATTAGTTTAGCTTCTATTGGACTGTGTCGCTTCTTGTTTTGTGTTTGGCTTAGGTCTAAGCTTAAGCTTTGCTGCCCTAGTCAATGTTTTTCTTGCGTTAGGCCACTGGTAAGCCAAAATTGTGCCAAACACCATCTTACACTATTTTGCGTGTAGGTGCTGGATACGGGGAGCTAGTGCTCGTAGGATTGTATCAGACCCTTGTTTTCTAGTGCACGTGGTTTTTATCCTTTATCCTATGGTGATATACTATAGGATAACCACGAAGCGGAACCTAATCCCTCTATATGCCATGTGTCTGTAGCGCACGTGGTTTTGACCCTTTATCCTATGGTGATTTACCATAGGATAACACCACGAAGCGGAACCTAAACCCTCTTTGTGCCACGTGACAGATGCCACGTGTCACATGCCACGTGTCCATAGGAACCTGAGGTTCAGGGCCTTGGGCCTCTGAACGAAGGAACGGTGCCAAACTCCTAAGCATGGAGCCAAGGAGTGATGGAACCGAACCACGGAGCAACTCCCGTGCATAAAGCCCAAGGAGCGAAGGGACAGGGGCCCGGAGTGACTTGGAACAGTCCTAGAGTAACCGGCATCCCAATGCCAGGACCAGCACGCAAAACGGAGCCAAACGGAGTCTGGCACTATTTTGGCATACCGGTGGCCTAACGCGAGGACATGGGTACTCCACCAACTAGCATGGAATGGAACTTGGGCTTAGACCCAAGCCGGACGCAGAACAAGGACAGGCACGCAAGCGGGAGCTAGACTATGCCTCAGATTGGTCGGCCATGCCCGACCTACCCACTATCCCTACTATACATTTGGAACCCCCCACAGCCCCCCCCCCCCCCTTGAGGAACACACGCTTTGGGCTTTCACCCCAAGCCTCCCTTAGTATCAGGAGTTAGTCTCTGGGACAAGCTCGAAACTTACTAAATATGGAATGTCCCTAGATTGCGAATTTGGACACAGGACGAACACCATTGTGTTCAGGACGATCTCTACATTCCGTAGATATGCCAAATGAGCAAATTTGGACACTTTCCATAAATAGCATTTGGGACCAAAATGAGACTAACACAAAGGGCATGATAGTGAGGGTGTTTGGCAGACACGGTAAGCTATCATGTAGCGATATTGAGGGACTAATCTCAATACGCGAGGGTTCTTGTCACTAGCAAGTGCAAGACAAAACGAGACGGGAACTCCTTACCGGGCTAAGTATGCTTAGCTAATAACACGTAGGAATTCCGTCCTTATGCTCGTCCGGTCTAAGTACACTTGAAATGCCCAATTAACTCCACTAGCACAAGAGGGACTGATAAAGGGTCCAGCAATACCGACCTCTTGCCATCGTGGCAGTAAGGTAAGAGTGTCCGTAAGGACTAGTTGACAGGTAACTTTCGATACCCGAAGTCACATGCGCGACACTTCACATGCGCAACACTCTCCCCCCCTAGGGAAGATCGACATCCTCGTCGATGCAT